CAGCAAGGATTAAAATGTATAAATTACAACTAACATTTATACAGTGGGATATGTAATTAAGTTTAGTAGTGCAAGAAGTAATGTTACTCAGATCATTAAATTAAAAATACTCCGTTAAGTTACAATGTCCTGCATTGAATCAAACTAATACATAAGTATTATCAGCTGAATTAGTTTTCAAAGTAAAAGTACTCATTTTTCAGAAGCTGTTAAAGGTGAAACTACTTTTACTTGCTTTACAGTCTGTAGTGTTGACCAGTCTTCCCAGTCTAGGGGCATGGCCCTTTCTCATAGGTTGTGTCAGAGGGGTTGTGAGATGAATAATGGGAGAGGAAATAAGAAAAAATAACTATATTCTGATACACAAATCTGTTTTTTTTTTTATCATTTGACCTCTTTGGGCCTTGAGCAGTTATTGCAATGATGTGAATAACTACGTGAGAATTTTGATGGGGAAATGTCTCTCCCTTTGGTAGAACTGCTAACAACTTAAAGGCATCTGAAATATGACAAGGAGGAGCCACAACTAGACATGATTTTTTTGTAAGTGGGCATAAGCCAAAAAGGTTAAGAACTTCTGGTTTAATGTTTAACAATGCATTGTAACTTATGAGCTTTCATGTGTTCTTTTAATGTAACATTTTAATCTGAAATGTAACTAAGTTGTTGTGATATAAATATAGTGCAGTAAAAAGTACAATATTTTGCTCTAAATTGAGTATGAGTGTAAAGTAGTATAAAATGGAAACATGCAAAATTGGCGTTAATTACAGTACTTAAAGTGTAAGTAAATGTAGTTACATTCCAGCACTGGTAAAGACCATAAACAGTAAACTCTACATAAATAGACAAACAGAGGGAAATGAGACTACAGCACACACATGGACCTTGAGAAGCCCTAGAGTTTCCCAAAGGTCCAAAGCAAGAAAAGGAATATCACTTCAGTAGAAACTGTATTTCAAAACGACTAAAACAAAGTGTATTGGAGGCAGCCACATATAGTCTAATATATTCATAAGTTGGCCTGTACAAGTTCACAGTACAGTACACTACCATTCAGCCCTTCCACCTTTAACAGAGTCTGGCATCACTCATGAGTAGCATATCTGATTACTTTGGCAAACCATTAACTTTAGCATTACTGCCTCCTAGTGGATTTATAGGCTATAAACTACCTGAAATTTTCAGTCACTTTTGTAATGATGGCTTAATGCTGTCACAGTGTTTTTTACTTTCTATAAAGATTTCAAGCTTTTTTTCTAGAAAGTACCATTGCTGTGCTGCAATTTTATTCGCCTGGATTCAGAAGCTCCCATTGGGAGTGCATTTAGTCTAGGCTGCTGGGAAAAGAAAGTCAGCCTGGCAATGGATAGTATAGTCTACGAGCTTCACCATCGGCTGTACAAGTAACTGAAACTGTGGCCACCACCAGCCAGCTGCTGAAGAGGGATATGGGAGAGTGTGTCCACTGTTCAACATCCGTGAGGCTGTTCATGCACTCTGATTATTAAGACCAGGTATGTGTTTATGCCGTGTTACAGATATACATGTACCTTATATTTGTATGGATGCATCTGTGTATATTTTTCTGATGTGCAAGATACATACAATTTTCTTGTCATGCTTGTACTGTATTGTAGTTAAATTCATTAAAACATTTGTGCTTGATGGTTGTGGAAGAAATACTGAGATCCTTTCCTTTATTAAAGTAGAAATGGCACACTGTAAAATGCTATTACGAGGGAAATCAGGCATGCAAATAGGCATTCTGTCATGGGTTTTTAGAATCATCCTGATAAAAGTTTTAGACAATGGAGATTTTCGTCTGTTTGTGACACTAGATGAGTGAGGCAGTCATCAAATTCATTAGGATTCATCTTCTGGGAATCAAATTTAATGGCAATCCATCCCTTTCAAAATAAGGCACCAGGTCAATGTAATTGATATTGCTACCACTAGGCAGAGCCCTAAGCCTTCCAATAATTCACAACATCAAGAGGAGTAGATCTAGTGATAAACTCATGTATGTTATTGTCCCAGTGATCATTCAAAGTTTGTTGCATTATTGATTTGAAAACTCAACCTCATGTTGACTGTTGTTTATTAAGAGAAGGCTGAGAAGATTTAAGATTAATACATTCTCAGTAGATATCTTTCCTGCAACATATACACATGTGTTTCCTTGTTGATACATGTTGTTTTGTTTTACACCTTGATCGAGTTATAAAGTAGCTGTTGTGGTGTAACAGGGATCTGGGGGGTGAGAGGCGGTAGAGGTGAGTACGGGGTGAAAGGGACAGCAGATGGGTGCTGAGGGAGCTCAGCACAAATGCTGGCGTCTCTACCAAGGGTGTACTGAACAGTAAGGAAAGCAATAGGTAACCCAAACAACCCAACTTCATAATTCCCATTGAAGCATGAATAATGCAACATAACAGGTCAAAGATGGAAAGGAAAGAAGACAGTAAGAGACCATTTGATGAAGTAAAAGTTAGCATGAGGAGTTTTGATTGGCTAGATATGTGCTACAGATTATAGTTAATACTCACTATCTTTTATTCTTTCACATAAAATTTGACTGTCTCTGTGTGTGTGTGTGTGTGTGTGTGTGTGTGTGTGTGTGTGTGTGTGTGTGTGTGTATGTGTGTGTCAAAGAGAGAGAAAATTGGAAGAAAGAGAACAGCCCATTTTCCATCCCGCCCAAATAAGTCATCATTTCTCTGTGAATCACTGTTACACTGAATCGGAAAACCTTAGCAAATTAAATACAAAATGGGAGAGAACGATTCATACATCTCAGAGTCAAACACTGTACATACAGTATGATAGGATTCCCTGGGTTTCTTCCAATATGTCGAAAGTTTAAAAATTAGTTTTTGAGTTTTTAATGTAATTATCTGAAATTGAAGTCAGGCAGAGGGTTAAATTAAACCTTACAGTCTTTTGGTTTTGAATTTGACAGAAGTGGATGTAGTGACAGTTGAGGTGGGCAGTAAGTGGGTGTACTCCTGAGAGGAAGTTGGTTTAAATCAATCATCTCAGCGGTCCTACCATGCATATTTTAATAGCAGTTACACTTTTGGCAAGTGTTAGATTACAGTTGAAAACGTTGGGTTATCAGAAGTTTAAACTAATGGAGGAAGGACAGCATTTAAAGCAGGCAGATGTACACATGCAGGAGATAGAACAAACTTTTAGAAAAAGGTATAGTTCACATCAGAGCTGAGCTCAAACAAATGGTCATAAAGGAAGACGCTGAACATCAGGAAATAGCTAAGAAGGAAATCCTTCTTACAGGAACTGCTAACAAAGTATGGAACACTTACTGAAAAGACTCAAATAACACAGAGGGATACCTCATGAGTTCAGGAGGTGAAGATGCACTCCACAGTGGAACCGTGGTTTATTTCTGATTGACTCTACTGTAAGTTTGTGCCAGATGTTTTTATCTGTAATGTGTGCAGAGTAGTGAAACCAGATGTGATAGGAGAGTGCCTTCATGTTTACACATGCTATATCTTAGATGTCCTTCAAAGGTATGTCATAAAATGCTGCCAGCAATCTGTACAACAAACTGTATCTGCTGTATATTCTGTCTGAGATGCCTGTGAATGGTTTTGAAATACTTTTCTAATGATTCCAAAAGAGTAAACAGGAATTACAAAATACCCAAACATACCTAATTGTGTGTTTTTGAACAGGAACTGAGGTTTGTTTTAGGATCTATTAATGTTTATCAGAGGAACAAACATGTAGTGTATTAAAAGTATCATTTCTTTTGTAATCACATTTTAGACAGTTGCTGTAGCCTGGAAGTGAGCACCTGCAGGGCAGACATGGATGCACCGTGCTCCTGTGAACATAAACTCTTAATAAACTCAACATACTATATACTCACATTTCAAAAAAAACCTTACTCCCAACAATAGGTATAATTATTCAGCATTCTTTAAGTTTACAGAGCATCCTGAAGTATACAGATCACAGAACCTCATAATATTTCCTCAGAGCGCTGTTTAGCTCTGATAGGGGAACACAACAATACCTACCATTCTACTGTAGCCCGTAACCTTTCTTTGCCCACTAAATGATCAACTATCAACTCATTGTATTTTTGTGCTCTATACAAAATTGAACTGGAGTGACTGATCTTATTAATGGATGCTGGTGTGAATAGAGCACATATAATTGAGAGGGGGTGGGGGGTGGAACGAGGTAACTGAGTAAACTAAGGGGGCATGGAGGCTAGAAGAAAAAACTGGGAGAAATAATTGACTGAAACAATTCAGAACATAGGACTCTGGGAGGACTGCTTTCCATATATAGTAAAAGAGGCAAGGCACCAAAATTAGGGTTTTGAATGACACCAAATGGTACAAGATATTTAAAATAGTTTAATGAATGTGGCAGTGTCATGCAAGAGTGGTAGAGAGGGAGCAGCATGGGGATTTTTTCCTCCTCGCATTAAGAAATGAGTGAGACAGCCAGAGATTGAGAAAAAGAGCGAGAGGCTTTCTCCATCTGGGTAACATTATTCAGATTCCTCAGTGTTGGATATTTGATGATGCTGGCAAAGGAAAGGGAGTGAGGCATGGAGGGAGACGAGAGGGAGGGAAAATGGGGTGAGAGGAAAGTTGATGAGGGAAACCAGAGGAGGGCGCTGCTCTCTCACAGAGACGATGTAGCCTTGTGCAGCACTCCCCAAAAAATGCTAAGAGCAGGAGGGAGGGAGGAATAAAAGAAGCTAGGAACATGCAGACAGCACATTTGTTCATATGTTCATTATTATTGTGTTTAAAAAGTTATTTCTTTAATAGTGGAAGAGACAGAGACAGGCGGTCTTGCTGGTGAAACACCTCAATAACTCAAATCCCACGTGAATCTGTCTCAGCTTGTGGGAGAAAAGGGAGGAGGCAAACTAAATAGGGAGGGAAGGAAAGAAAGAATGTACTGAGATCTCATCATGTGATTTCTGTTTTTTTTCCATTTTATATAGCTGCACAGTGATTACATGTTTGTAGTTTGGGGCTCTTAGCAAAATTTTCCAAACCCTCTCTGCTCTCTGGCACTCTTTTTTTTTTTTTTGCATTATCCAACAGCTTACTTTCCTTTACTTTTTTTTGGCCCAGTGTGACGTGTTAGTGGAGTTCCTGCCCTTGTTTTCATGCAGCATAGTATAGAGGGAAGAAGAAGAGGGACTCTCGAAGAGGCGCACATTTACTTGACCTGTCAAAGGGAAGATGAATTGAAGGTATAAACAAGAGGGGTTGTTTGTGTTTTGGCCTGAGAGTGTATGCTTTGTCCTCACAGGGGAGCCAGACAAGAGGGAGGAAGGACGTGGAGAAAGAGCTGAGAGAAAGTGATTGACGTTGGGGAGAGAGAAGAGGATAAGTTTCCTAATTCTGTCGCCCATAGGCAAGGGTGGATGAGAAGTTACAGTTAAGGAGCCTGTCTGACACAGAAGGAGGAGCACCAGTCTGGGGGGGAACCACCAGTTCAGCCTTCTTCCAGCAACAATAGGACAGGATGAGGTACCAAGGCAGGGTAAGATCCTGATTTCCATGATGTTTCTTGTTGTGCCGTATTTTCATGTTAAATGCTGCACACTGACTGGATTGTATGTGTGTGTGCATTATCGGTGCTTTCTCAAGTTCCGATCCACCAAGTCTCTCTCCTGGAGGGAAAAGCAAAACAGAAGAATGAGTCACTTAGAGACTTTTTCTTTTTTCTTTTTTTTTGCCTATGTGTGAGTCAGTGTGTATTTTGGTTTTTGTATAAGCTGTACGCTTGGTATTTTTCCACCATATCCATTACTGGCACATCAGTGGTAGCGAGCCAGCTGTGGTACCAGAGCAAATCGCCCTGGGACAGAGTGGTGGGGCATGCCTTATAAGGAAGACAATCTGAATGTAGTCGGCCCAGCAGAGCTTAGTCATGGGGCCTAGAGCCAAGTCCCACTGCCTCCTCACTGGTTGTCACTGCTGCTGCACCTACAAACCTGCAAATTTCACTGGAGCTCCCTGGTGCTCAGAGTTAAATCCCCCATAAAGCACTCAAGCACTTCTGGGAGCCTGTCAGTTAGATCAGACTCTCACTGTTAGCTGTTATAGCAATCAATCCTCAGGCCAGTTCACTGACAACAAAGCTGCAAGGATTACTTGGTATACTGGTTATATCTCCATCCCAGACAGTATCTCAGCCACAGTGTCTTCATAAAAAATGATTTTCACATCCTTAAAAATTTCCTTTACCCCAGTGCAAGCAGTGTTTCTATGTTTTGTAAGCAAAGATGTGTTTTAGACAAGGCTTCTAATGTTGAAAAGTGAATTTTCTCCATGTCATGGTGATAAAATTCTTGAAAAAAAAAGTAGTAAATGTAACTCATGACTGTTGAGAGATAGATCCTTGAAAACAATGTTTACCGTGTTTTAGAGTTTATGTTTTGTTGCTGATGAATCGGTGCACATCCAATGCGGTATTAAGCAGAAAAAAATCAAGTGAGTGTAACAAAATTATTACACAAAATTGGATATTTCAAGACACTGAAAAGGCAGAAACTGCACAGACACTGTCCACACAGCAGATACTGTACATCTTAATAACAATTGAACATAAAAGGAACGAGATCTGAGGAAGATGGAATGAAAGATTCACGCCAAAAGAGTCTATTACAATTCAAAGCCAGGAAGGTTTGATTTTTATGCTTTACACATAGAGGTGCTTTCTGTGTTTCATAATAATGTGCAAGCCCAACTTGAGCTATGTAACGTTATATGTGATAAACTAAAGTAAATAAATATTTAAGTAAAGTAAATATTCTTGCGGAAGTTACTAGATTGAATGAAACATTCATCCACATCGCCTCAAAGCACATTTCATTCTAAGTATACAAACCATCAAAGAATTAGGGGAAATGTTGCAATTGGCCATGCTACGTGTTCACCGCATCCTTCACACCTAAAGCTGTGTTAGGATCATTTTGGTCTGATCTGCTAATTATTCCATTTTTGCCTTGCAGGTGTCGCAAATTTCTTGTTGACTAGGCATGCAAAAACACACTATCCCCAGAGTTGGATATCAAAGCATGCACAGCTGCTGACACCCACATAGAAAAGTTTAGTGGTATCTACTGAACGCCTGTCCTAAACCTGACCCTAACATTCCTTAGTTGTATCCTTTGGAAAATCTGACTGTTAACTGTAATTACTATCTGAAGGAATCCCACCTGCAGGAGTGGGAGAACAATACTCCAAGGTGAAGCAGAGAGGAGGGGCTGCAGTGGAAGTATTCAGTGGCTTTCCTTTGCTCTCACTTCTTGGCTATCTTCCACTGTTGTCCTCTTGTTATTTTAAGGTCTTTCCTGCATCCAGTGCTCAGAGATAATGCCCTTTTACCGGTATTAACCAGCCAAATGAGACCCTTGAGAGGCTCTTGCATTCAAGAAAAACAGAAGTCCTGTGGAAGTCTAGCCCCTTTGTTCCACTTTCTGCTTGTTTTTTCAATGAATATGTGAAGAAAAACCAGCGAGGCTTCTCTCTGAAATATATCTTTGACACTGAAGACAGAGTGCAGCTGGTTTGACTGGGGCGTAGTGCATTGATTACACACTGAATTGTGTGTCTGGATATTTATCATCAGTAAGTATTGACTTTTGACATTTGTTATCTCTTTTATATGAATGTATGTGTATGACTGTGCATGTGGTTGAGTGTGTAATATCATACTTTAGGGCATATCTGAGAGGTTCACGCTGCAGACCGATAATTTTTTCCTGTCTGCACTATAATGTTTGCCATCACAGTGGGGTTGACATGTACACACACTTTCGCTGTGGCATTGGTTAAACCCCATCTGGTGATATAGAGCTTTGTGTACTGTACATACATCATAATACACTATCTCACTGTCACATAATAGAAGAGTCTATCCTGCCTGTTTATCATTTGGATTCCTTAAATGTCTTCATTGTTTAATCTTGGCAAGGCTTGGCGGAGCTGTTCTTAATTTGTTTTTTTACAGTGTTGTTTTTGTGATGTTGGTCAATAGGTCTGGAGTCATTAACCCTGAAATATTTTTTGAAATACTTATCAGTGGATTCTATCCTGTATTATATTTTTATTGTAATACTGATCACCACATGTTAATTCTTTCATAACTGGGTGAAGGTATCATGCTTTAATGAAATGAGAATAGGCCTTTTGCATCCTCTGCTGGTCAAAATTGTGTAACTACACCTGTTACAAGGTTATCAGTAGGGACAGAAATCTTATGTGTGTACTCTCAAGTGCTTCATTTCTGTATCTCTCTGAAATGTTCATCCTTCCCTCTCCTCCTACAGGAAGTGGATGTAGAAGGAAGAGTGCGCCTGGTGATGGAGAGTTCCCTGTCCGCCCGGGACAGGGTCGGGGTGCAGGACTTTGTCTTGCTGGAAAACTACAACAGTGAGGCAGCCTTCATAGAGAACCTACGGAGACGCTTCAGAGAAAACCTCATCTATGTAATAAAGCCAATTTTCTTCATATGTTCCAAAACATTTCAGTTGGTGTGATGAGACATATTTGAATGTGTTCTAATATTTTGGCTCAGACGTATATTGGCTCAGTTTTGGTGTCGGTGAACCCTTACAAAGAGCTGGAGATTTACTCCAAGCAGCAGATGGATCGCTACAGAGGCGTCAGTTTCTATGAGATATCACCTCACATGTGAGTCACTTCATGGTCCTCAAACATTTGTTTTTATCAAACTCCTCTCTCGTCCTCCACTGTCAACAGCCCAGCTTATAATCACACGGCATGTTGAGAAAGATATATTCCTAATATTACATTCTGATCAAACAGGATTTATTGGCATGAGGCATTCAGTAATATGCTGGGTATGTGTGTATTGCCTTAAATCTGAGACCTCTGCACAGGCTTTCTATAGCTTAATAAATACACTGAATAACACTGCATAACCTTAGGGCTGCAGCTAACAATTGTTTTCATTATCAGTTAATCTAATTAAAATGATAGGTTGACTATTTAACAACTGTCCAGGGACTACAGATGAAAAATAGTCTTTTGGCTAACTCTGCTACATTTGTATCTATGCTTATTAATGTGCACTGTCCCTGCTAAATTAAACTAATTAAAAATGAAAAACAAAGCATTTCCATTGCATTAATTTGCGTGACTTACATTGATGTGTAGTTGAAGCTGCTTTCGTGTTTTCCCTCAGCTACGCCTTGTCAGACAACACTTACCGAGCCATGCGGACCGAGAGGAAGGACCAGTGTATTCTCATATCGGGTGAGAGCGGAGCAGGTAAAACAGAGGCCTCCAAGAAGATCCTCCTCTACTATGCTGTCACCTGCCCCACTAATGATCACATGGCTGCCCTTGGTGACCGCCTACTGCAGTCTAACCCTGTCCTGGAGGTATTTAACCTTTGGCATTTCAAACTGAACAGCCAGTGTCACAGGCTTATTTGTCTTTATATGATATTATTTGGGTTATCTGAAAAATCTAGATTACCTTTGCATATTTGTAAATACTTTTAGTTTTTTCCTGATTGATTGTGTTTTTCTATTGTTGCTCTTGATTTCACTTCCTCCCTCTAATTTCCTGCCTTTTTTGCTTTGCACAGGCATTTGGCAACGCCAAAACACTTAGGAATGACAACTCGAGCCGCTTTGGAAAATACATGGATGTTCAGTTTGACTTCAGGGTAAACACTTCCTCCTTGGCTTTCTCGCTTTTTATAGAAATCATATGTGCTTACACTGCACTGACAACAGCAGTTATTTTAGTAATATTATTTAAAAAAGCTCAAACATTAAAACCTCTGCTAAACCTGATTTTAACAGTTGCTCCCAACTTTTTCTGAAATTTCTCCCAGGGGGCACCAGTGGGCGGTCACATCCTGAACTACCTGCTGGAGAAATCCCGTGTAGTGCACCAGAACCATGGTGAGAGGAACTTCCACATCTTCTATCAGCTTCTGGATGGGGGGGATGACAACTTGCTTAACACACTCGACCTGGAAAGAAACCCTCAAAGCTACCAGTATCTGGTCAAGGTGTGTGTGGTGCAGAAGCTTGGTGAATTACTTGTTTTCAAGCAGAGGCCATCATTTGTGGTGTAATATTTCACTGTGTTGTTCAGGGCAACTGTCCCAGACTCAGCTCCGTCAGTGACAAGAATAATTGGAAAGTTGTGATGAAGGCGCTGCCTGTTATTGGCTTCACAGAGGAAGAAGTGCAGGTCAGTAAAAACAATTACAGCATTGAGTGACGGTTACCTGAATTCAGGCAGCAACATTACTGTTTTGTTTTTCACTCATGTCCTCTGGTTTACCACATTTACCACATTAAAGTGGAACACACTAAATGGTAAAGTCACAGGAATGGATCAGAGATGAGCAATGTTCTTACAGTTTGCACCATGACTCCACCATGTCCACAGTTTATCATTCTACGTTTTTCATCGCATTTCTTATCATCAAAAACACATGCAGGAGAACTCTACATGAATCCAAACTTACATCTGTATTATTTGCATTAATACGTTTTCATTGAAAAAACACATTTTTGTATCCTTAAGGCTATTTGTAATGCTATTTTTATATCATCATAGTTTCACTGGCTTTTTTCGACAGTTTTGAATCCTGCATTTTTAACATCAACTTGCTGCCTCAAGCATTTGAGCTGACCTCTTAAATATGAGAGTTATTTTGAAAGTACAATTTACGCATATCTGATTATATATTAATGATTATATTCTCACTGACTACATATGTTAATTTTGTTAAAAAATAATAGATGGTTCATCTGTGCGGCTGTTGTCATCTGTTTTTCCTGTGTCTGGCTCTCAGAAATTGCTAAATATCATCGGCAGTATTCTCCATCTGGGAAACACTCAGTTTGGGGAAGGGGAGGAAGGAGAAACTTATATCACCACTGAGACTCAGATAAACAATCTTTCGAAGGTCAGAACCGTCCCACTAGTATTAATGGATGTTCAAATATGCACAAAAACTCGCAAAAAGGCATAGCTGGGAACAGATGTGTTGTTGTTTTCCAGCTGCTGGGTGTTGATGGCTCAGCCCTCAGGGAGGCACTCACTCACAAGAAGCTCACTGCCAAAGGAGAGGAGGTGACGTTTTCTTTTTGTCCTTGCTCCTCGTGTTATCAATTGTTTCGTGTGTATTGTATAAATTTGTGGTTGTACTTGCTTTTGTGTGTTACAGATGATAAGCCCTTTAAGTTTTGAGCAGGCAGTGGCTGCCCGTGATGCCTTAGCCAAGGCCGTGTATGGTCGGACCTTCACTTGGTTGGTGGAGAAGATCAACCAGTCGCTGGCTGTGAAGGTACAGTAAGAGTCCCTATTACAACTCAAAGACAGCAATGGAGCTGTTGCTGTGTTTTGCCACTGATTGCATGCTGTGATATGTTTTGCAGGATGAAATCTACCACAGCAGTAAGGCCTCCTCAGTTATAGGACTTCTAGACATCTATGGCTTTGAGGTCCTACAGCACAATAGGTATGAGTTAGTCACATCTTAATGCTTAAAGTTATTGTGAGTAATTGTTATATATTCGTGCCAATAAAGCTAATTTGAATTGAATTGTCTCTAATGCACATAGTGTTTGCACATAACTCTAGAATGCGTTGACCTAATTTTCCTAATATTTCGGCCCACAGTTTCGAGCAGTTCTGCATCAACTACTGCAATGAGAAGCTCCAGCAGCTGTTTATTGAGCTCACCCTGAGATCTGAGCAGGAGGAGTATGAGACAGAGGGAATTGCAGTGAGTTCATTCCTGTTTAGGTAAACATATAAGTTTGATATATCTGTTAATATTTATATTTCCATGCTAACACAACATTGTTTTCCTCCAAACGTTCCCTTCTAATGTCAGTGGGAGACGGTGCAATACTTTGACAACAAGATCATTTGTGACCTGATAGAGGAAAAACACAAAGGCATCATCTCCATTCTGGTGCGCATTACAACTCCTAGTTTATATGTTATTCTCCGTATATGGTGTTGTCTTACCTTCTGTCGCTGTAGGTGACGTTAAACAGTGTGATGTTTTCAGGATGAGGAGTGTCTGAGGCCTGGAGAGACCTGCGATGTATCCTTTTTAGAGAAACTGGAAGACACACTGGGCGACCATCCCCATTTTGTTACGTAAGCATCATCTTATGTCAAATATTAATTTGACATACAGTAAAAAGGCTCTTCTAATTGCAGTTACATTTCTGTGATTGTTTTTATATATGTGTGTGTGTGTGTGTGTGTGTGTGTGTGTGTGTGTGTGCGTGCATGTGTGTGTGTGTGCCTTTCAGTCACAAGTTGGCAAATGGAAAAACTCGCAGGGTGATGAGCAGGGAAGAATTCAGGCTGCTGCATTATGCTGGAGAGGTAAACTACAATGTCAATGGTAAGCTGTAATTTATCACTAGACCAACGAGCTGACTATTCTTATTAATGCATTTATTCCCTTGTAAGAGGCATTTCAGAGCATAACCCACAACCCACTAATTTCTTAATGACAGTGTTTATGTTTCCCATTCAGGTTTCCTAGACAAGAATAATGATTTGCTGAACAGGAACCTGAAGGAGGTGAGGATAATAAAAATGTACATGGTAGAACCTCACCAAAACTTTTTAAAAAACCCTGAACAGGAAGAGGGGCGTGTGCTGTGTTGACATGTGGTTGTGTGGTTTGGTCTCTGTTTAGGTCATGTGCCAGTCAGACAACCAGATCCTAAAGCACTGCTTCCGTAGAGAGGAAGTGATGGACCAGAAACGCCCAGAGATGGTGAGAATTATGCTCACTTTGTATCCCTCTTCTCTTTTAGTTGTTTTTGATCAGTTTTAGGTGTGGTTTTAAACCAAAAGTATTTCTGTGGTTTATAGGTAGCCATAATAAAGACACCACTTTCTCTTTCTTTCAAATTGTTTTTCCCATAGTTTCATATTTTTTATTTGTCCTTTAGGCTGCCACTCAGTTTAAAAACAGCCTGATGAAGCTCATGGAGATCCTCATGTCTAAAGAGCCGTCCTACGTGCGCTGTATTAAACCTAATGATGCCAAGCAGCCAGGTACACTTTATTGTATATTATTGTACTAGTGAAACATTGCTACTTGTGCTATAATGGCTTACATGGTGGCTAAAAATACAATTTCCAGACACTTCCGCCCAACATAGCCACAACACTGTGCATCTAATTTTCCTTGTTTAATATAAATTTTGTTCACACTCCCCAATTAATTAACTTTGAGTCTACTCTGTCAGTCTTTCTCAGTGGTTAATGCTGGAGTCAGTGAAACTCAACAATTCCTGCACAATGAAAGAAAGGGAATAAATTATGCTCTCTGAAGCATTTTAATGTGAAAGAGATTAAGGAAGTATTGGGTTTGCATCAACAACAGAGGTGATATGATCAGAAAACAATATAAAGATAAAAAGGACATATAAAACAAGGAAAATTAGAAATAGAGGCAGGTCTAATAATACATATAAAAAATGAAGGCCTCAGTCCCTTCTTACTTCTTACCTACTGTATGCTATCTAATGTATAGTATATACACCAGTGAATAAAATCTCTCCTTGCAGGAAGGTTTGATGAAGTTCTGGTCAGACACCAGGTGAAGTACCTGGGTCTGATGGAAAACCTGAGGGTCAGGAGAGCTGGCTTTGCCTATCGACGTCGCTTTGAAGCCTTCCTGCAGAGGTGACTGACTTTCACACCTAATGACTTACAGCCTCAGTGACTGTTCATTCTGTTTACTCTGTATTCAGCCCTCTGTAATTATAATTATGTACAAATGGCCTAGGTATAAGCCTCTGTGTCCTGAGACCTGGCCCAATTGGCATGGCAGACTCGCAGATGGTGTCTCGACATTGGTCAACCACCTGGGCTACAAAGCAGAAGAGTACAAACTGGGCAGGTAATGTCTTGTTAGGGGGAGATGGAGAGTGGGATGAGAGTTTGATCAGTAGGTACTGAGATTATGGGGCCACCTAGGCTACATGCATGAGTGCAAACCACGCAAGTATTCATTGTACCTTTGTGTTGATTAAGAAATTATTTTATCTACTTTCTGCAGGTCAAAAATCTTCATCCGTTTCCCAAAAACTCTCTTCAACACTGAGGATGCACTAGAAGCAAAAAAGCCAGAGATAGGTAAGTAACGGTAGGATTGTAAACATTGGGGAATCAGAAAATGAACAAAGGAAATACGTGACTCAGAGTCACATATTGATAACGTACGGAGAGTCCATTTTTGTGGGATAAATCCCATGTTGAACTATGAATCAGTTCCCACGCCGGAGGCCTCCACAGCAGGACCTCTGGATCACCTCGACTGAAAAGCCAAAATCCACCTTTACTTTCTTTTCTTGGATGTTTTCCAGCTTTGACCCTGCAGACATCATGGAGAGGCTACAGGGAGAGAGCCAAGTACCAACGCATCAGACACGCAGGTCAGAGCACTTCCCTCCCCTCATAGTTTCTAACCTCTCCTTTACAGAACAGTCTCACTGTGTTCCTAAAACTGAAATAAAAAACAGGGATGACAACTCACAGAAGTGAGTTTTACTTTCATTTTTACTTCTCATAAATGTTGATTTTGGATTTTTTGTCCATTGTCATATTGGTTTGAAAAATGTACAGTATGTACTGTACATGCACGTAAACATGCTTTTGGATGGCCACATGGTCCACATTCCAACTCATGTGTTGGGTGTACATGTTTATGTTATTTTTCTGTAGATTTAACTTAATTTCACCTTTCCAGCATTCCTATCTGGGCCTAAGCTGACTTTCTGTTTAAGTATGCTATACTAACATTGGTATGTTGTCTTTGGCTGAGTCTAAAAGTCATCTTGGTGTTAATATATGCATGTATGTGTATGTATAGTGATAGTGATCCAGTCTGGGTGGCGAGGGATGAAAGCACGCAGGAGGGCTAAGAGGCGTCGCCAGGCTGCTGAGTTAATACGCAGGTGCTTGACTGATACTTTGTTCATGTTTGTTTGTCTATGTATTTTTACGATTGCGTTTTGCATTTATAGTACATTTCCTTCTTTGAACCTTTTTTTTCCAGGTTCATAAAAGGCTTCATCTACCGTCATGAGGAATACTGCCCTGAGAATGAGTATTTCCTGGATCATGTACGCTACTCCTTCCTAAAGAATCTACGGAAAAACCTGCCCAAGAGCGTTTTGGACAAAAGCTGGCCGACACCTCCTCCCTCCCTGGTTGAGGTACAAACACACCCTACACACATAACATACAGATAAAAGAATGCATAAGTACAAGTAAGAATCTGTAGAATTAGTAATGCAAATTCTTCGTTGTCGATTCTATGGTGCCTACAGGCCTCTGAGCACCTGTGGAGGCTGAACATGAGAAACATGGTCCTGAAGTACTGCAGGAGGGTCCAACCTGAATGGAAGAAGCAGGTACACAAACAGCATGGCCTTCCTTTTTTTTCTTTAATAAATACTAAAATGTTTCATCTTGCTTGATTCTTATTATTATTTATTTGTCCTCTAGATGATGCAGAAGGTTGTAGCCAGTGAGGTCTTCAAGGACCAGAAAGACAGCTACCCTCAGAGTGTTGGAAGGCTGTTTTTGGACTCCAGGCTGGGTATGTGTTAAAACATACATTCATCACCTCTGTAGAAACACCATACAGATGAGGTACCAAAAAAACATGTAACATTGACATTGACATTTTCCCATTGCTTTGTATAGAAAATGAACAAATCAATCTTAAAGTCGTCCAGACTCTTGGCAATGACAAAGTGCAGGTGAGATTGATCCTTTTCCCCCCTATGTGATGATGATAATAAAGGTTTGTGAGCTTTCAGCAGCCTTACAGTGATATGTCTCCCTCTCAGTACGGTGTTTCAGTTGTGAAGTATGACAGGAGGGGTTTCAAGCCTCGCCCTCGCCAGCTGCTTCTCACTAACAGCTTTGCTGTGCTGGTGGACAGGACCAAGATCAAACAGAGGATTGACTACACAGCTCTGAGAGGTAAACACCAGCCCCGAGTGGGGAAGTGAGGGGCACAATTTGAGAAATGTATTATCTTAAGATATTGAGAGAGCTCATTATCATTTGTTTTGTAATTTTTGCTAGGAGCTACTACAGTTGTACCAGTTTTCAAATTAAGTTTAGTCTTCTTTGGCCTTCAACAGTCATAATATCTCAATAACTGGAACTTGTCTGTGCACTTCTGCAGAAATATCCATGGCAACCAAGTGGTGTTTGTATACAATGTGCCAAAAAAAAGTTTCTCAAAGAAAGAAACTTTTAACTGAGAGGATGACCATTCATAATGAAATCAATTCAGCAGGAGATGGGGTCATAGCTTTTGGATACCGACCTTTTTTGATTCATTGTTGTTTTAGTGTTACAGATATTGAACCAGTAATTAACTGAACATAGTTTTTCACTGACAAAAGAATGTGGCTAAAACGTTTCTGATTAATGCATGGGGATTGTGTTCTTTAGTTCGGTGAGTCCAAACCAGGTTTTCTCTTTTAACAGGTATCTCTGTGAGCTCTCTCAGCGATGGGATGTTTGTTCTGCACATGCCCAGTGAGGACAATAAGCAGAAGGTACAGTAAGACGGCGCACTCATTACTGTTTACTACTGCAAAACCATTTTACCACTCTTTAATCTAGCTGTGTGTCCCTCAGGGCGACGTGGTGCTACAATGCAGCCATGTGATTGAGCTGGTGACAAAACTAGCCATTATGGCGAGCAAGGTCAACTACGTCAACGTCAGCCCGGGCAGGTGAGGCCTGTCAGACTGCTTCTCTATGATGGTTGTTGCCAACCCAACAGTACTCATCTCCCAATCCCGTCTCTATTTGTTACCTCCCAGTATTAGGTTTGCTGTGGCTCGAGGCAAGGAGGGAATCATTGATTTCATCAGGGGTTCAGAGCTGAAGGTAGCCAAAGGCAAGCGAGGACATCTGCTAGTGGTGAGTCACAGGCTGCTCTGATGTCATGTGTGGAGCCTGCCGGGAGGACTTTTTTTTATATTAAGAACACTTCGGCCAGCTGACTGTGTTCACTCTGGTTTCACTCTGCAGACTGCCCCTCGGATCAACGCCACATGAAGAAACAGAAAACAGCAACCAGACAAACAGTAATCCTTTTAGCTAACTGGAGGATTGCCACTCAGAAGTTGTCATCATATTAGTTAGTTTGTAGCCGACAGGATGATACCACAAGCACACACAACATACTCAACAGAAGGAAGATTGTTTATTAATTCATATACATCACCATTATTACAAGAATGTCGTTATTGCTGCAATAACTATTGCTAATGTTTTTTAACGATTAGAAAATCATACCATGAAGTCGTCACTGTTTCAAATGCTTCATTTCTTTATTGACAGTCATACAAATTGTACACAAATATATTTAAATACATAAAATATAAAATGTCTTGTCATGTGAAACACTTTTTCTCTATATTGTAAGAAAAATAAAACAAACCACTTTGAAATAAATAGCATGTCAATAAATATGTTAATAAATAGTAAATATATCTTTGGAAAGTCCAGTAGATTGAGGGCTTGGGGAAAAACAGTTGGGAAGTGTTCTCTCCGCTCTGTTAGAGGCAAGACAGAAACTCTGGGAAATACCCAAGAAAGCCCTTGAATATACATCATGTAAAACCATTTGACTAGCTTAAAGAGAGCTCCATGTAAACACCACTGAAACTGATTAAAGTTACCAACTGTTATTACAATTTTCTGCTAGGTGCTGACAGTTTGTGTGCATGTGTGTGTGTTGTCAAGGTCACAGCTTTCTTTTTTCAGTGCTGAGTCATTTATATTTTTGAAGCCAGTAGGAGGAAGTCTCTTGCCAGCTTGGTGAGGTAAAGGTCTAGATCCCTCAATATGATGTAACCCTCTACTCGGCGGTCCCACACTGTTTTGGAGCTGGTTTCTGGGTTCAGGGGTTCCTGTACCTTATGAGAGGTTGGCTTCATCCAGGAGCTCTGCATGTAACTCAACTGAAGCAGAAAGCAAAACAAATTTTATCAGACCTTGGTGTCACTTCCTCCAAAGTCTTTGTGTGGGCTGAAAAGCTGACAAAAAGTGCTCGGATTATAGTAAGAACACTGCGGATACCTGACTGCTGACTTGTTTCATCAGGTCCCTCAGGTCCAACTGAATGTGCCTGATGCTCTGAGATATAGTGGTGCGTACCACCCGCTCCGCTATCTGCTCTTTCTCCTCCATTTCCAGCTGTTTCCTCTTCCACTCCAGCATATTCCAATATGCTTGCATGTCGCAGAAAGCAGCATGCAGTCGTTCCCAGTCCTGAACACACAACAAGAAACGACCACATGATTACATAGTCAAAATGTTGCACAATCCCCTTTCTATGCTTGAAGTTCAAAAAGGGGAAATCCGCTGAAAGTTTTTGCAAGTTTTGCGTTCTGCAAGAGCAAACTTTCTGACGATGTCATCTAGTTTTGTTGTTTTTTTTCTCTTCCCATGACGGAAAAAAATTCTTAAAACAATGGAAGAAATTCTCTAAAAACTTGAAAATGTGTTTTGCAGAATAGCAACCAGAGAGTGATGTTATATGGAATTGTTATGAAACAGTCGAGCAGATACTAACCGTCAGCTTTAGCCAGCTGTTGAAATCTGTAGAAAGTGATGGCAGGTCCTTTAACTGTCGGCTTCTGTCTTCAAAATGCTTGTTTCCCAACTGCTGCTCCTTCTATTCAATTAAATATAGTAGCTATTAAAGCTTTGTTGCTGGGGAAAGCTAAGATGTGCACAGTAATACGTTTTCAGTACTCACATATTTTCTCTGCAGCTGCTGGACACGGGTTCGTGTGGTCCTCGTGAGACGAAAGGAGTTTTTATATTTATTCCTCTGGGGGACTGCAGATGGAGCAGAGAACTCCACAAAGTGCAGGACACAGTAAAGGAGGATGAGAGCCCGCCACCACACAGTCATCTACAAACAGACATGAGCAGAGTTATGGTTTATATACACAGTAGGCCTATATAATCTATTGTTTGTGCTGTGTTGTTGCATTAAATCAGTGCAATGAACACGCAGATTTGTCCAGCTGCTTTTCAGGGATAAACTGGCTAAGATGTAATAATGTATGATTCTTTTTTCTGGCATTTTTTGCCTTTATTGGATAGAGACGGCTGCAGAGAGAGAGACAGGAAATGTGTACTATAATGTAAAAAATAAAAAAGGTGAACTAAAGTATCACTTCCAACACAAAGTACAGCATTACGGTTATGTACACTTAGGCTATTCGCTTTATGGGAACTTAACTGTCAATGTCCATATTTAGTATCTGAAAGGAAGTCCATTCATATTTCCGAAAGAAAATCTACTCTCGCATCCTCCAACCCCCACCACACAACGTCCCCATACATGCTTTTATTATGTAATTCAGTAACACTACAGTTCGTCTGGTAATACATGCATAGAAACACCAGTGTCTTGATTCCTCTAAACGGTTTCAGCGTGGTATGAAGCATTTTCTTAAGATTGTCAACACAGATCACCAGTTTACACACTTTGCTAGCACAAGAGAACTGTTTAGTTTGTCTTTTCTTTCAGGTTTCTTGGCTCTGTCAATATTTATCCGTAAAATAAAAGAAGTAAATCTTCCTTTTCATTCTGGTCATTTTTTCAGTTGCATCATGGTTTTTTTGGGTGCAACACAGTCTTCTTGATGAGTCAACATCTTTCTCATTCACTAAAACCATGACAGTGTTCTCTAATGATCTCTCTCAATTATTAATAACAAAAGCTCACTTGGTTCTACACAAATAAACAGCAGAAAGGTTATTGGAAATAAACTGATTATGAATACTAGATATAAGCCTTTACTTGAAGTTTGACATGGTCACTAATTTTGCCCAAAAACTAAATTTTAAAAGTCTTTAGATATGTAAGTGCACTGCCACAAACAAACTGTGCACTATGCGCTGTGCATCTGTCTCTACAGTTGCCTGCTGTGTTTTTTGTTGTTTTTTTTTTTTTTTTTTTTTACATATGCTCACACATGATGATACAGTCAGTAATACCAAAAATAAAATATTAGGTAATATTTTTACAGATAAAAATTAATAATTAAATTCGCATGCTGTCAAACCTTTAAATTCATATCTCAAGAATCTCTAGCTTTAGGATGGGCTTACCTTGGAGGAGCAGTGAACGCCACTCTGAGCAAGATACCTTCATGCTATAGTGAGGCTCACGCTACTGTTTATATATTTGCCTTGTTCTTGCTTTCGGTTTCTCAGATCTGGAGTTTTTTCTTCTTTTTTCCTTTCTCTCTCTCTTGCCCACTCTATCTTGTGGTAATACAGGCAGAAGTGAGTGCGGTTTTTACGTGGGGGGGTAGGGGTTGGTTGGAAATGAGTGTTTTCAGGAGCACTAATTAAAAGTTTAGGTTGCCCCAGCCTGTAATATCTATTATTTAAAGTGATATTTTGAACTTAACTTATAATAAATAGTTTATACTCATATTGTGTGATTATGCCCTTGTAGCTTTAAGTACAGCGTATGGCTGTGTATTAAAGATGCATCAATGATTGACCACGATATTTAGAAGTTAAATGTTACAGACAAGCTGTCAGACAGATAAGGAGACAAAGCAAAAGTAAAACCTTCAATAATGTCAAATAAATGTTCACTTTTATTCTGCATGCTCATATGCTGTTTTACCTTTTTAAACTTTTTTTTAAGGTGACATTCTCTGGTACAGTTATTGCAATGTGTATTGCTGTGCGCTATCCCCATTAAATTAAACAATAAGTAAATAAATCAACATTGTTCTTCCTGCAGAGTTTCATTAAATGGTCCCTAAACTATGATACTGAAAGTGGCAAGCTGTTAAAAACAACAAAAATCTGAAACTTTGGCTATAAGTTAACTCCTAACTGTGCCTTTTAAGGGAATATTTCAGGAGTCTTGTGATGTTGATGAGTAATAAAGTTTCAGTGAATCTCACAAAACAGAGAAAAACAGCTAAAAAGTTCCCAATATCAGGTTAGTTTCTACTCCTCTGTATGTTACTGTTTACGTGTATTTTATTCCACCACATCACACGTTTTAGCCCCCTTTCTCTGGTTTCCCACTATATGAGCTTAAATCTGAAGGGGACAGAGCCTTTGACATCCTTATAGATACTTTTATTGGAGCTCTCACCCTGATTTTGTCTGAATCGTTTTGTTTCTTGTATTTTGTTTCACTGGAACTTGTTTCTAATTTTTTATTTACCAATATGTGTTTTCTATGTGCTGCCTCATGTGAATCTTCAAATAATGATGACACGATTACTATCATTACTCATAATATTATTTTTGTTGTTATTTGTGTCATATATATGTGTTTCTCTGGGTCTGGGGCAAAAAAAAGCTATGGTTGGTAAATCGACTCTACTGAGGCATAATCACTGCTGCCATGCAAAGTAATCGTAAATCATGAAGAATAAACCTTATAACATTTGGCTATAGATCTCCGTATGGCCTTCATTCAGATCACTAGGCAGAGCCTCTCAATCATACATTTTTTATTTTGCCTGATCCTGCCATGATCTTTAAAGAATTATTGGGTTCCCTTCCAGAAAATTGCACAAACGTGAAGGGGTTGATGTTTATTTGGAGGTAAATTCCCAACCAGTGATAAATCCAATGTGTACACTATGGGAAGTCACCCAACATTCAAAGGAATGACAAATGGGGGATATTCTATAGCGATTAATGCTTTCATTTATTGATTAGTGAACTTAACTTATGCACATTTTCAACTATATAAATGAACTTACATAGTTAGGTACCAGTGCAGGTGTGTCTATTTATCTGGTGTAATGTACAAAATACAGGGCTGCTGATCATCAAAAACATCATAACTGCAACATTTTATACAATAATAAAAAGTGCTTTTTTAAAACATTTTGATTGTTGAGTGCTTTAGTCTGTGAAATATTTTTCTTGTGTCTCTTCTGCTTATTCATTGTAACACTTACATTCTGAAAGTCAGTTTTTGAAGTTAAAAAAAGTTTGATCTTAGACACCACTGGTGAGGAAGCAATCTAGGTCATTCTAAGCAACTGGTTTCAAAATATCAAAAAATCTGAATAAAGTACCACTTAGAAACAATTGGTAGTTTCAACTTACCTCTTTGTGGTGTGGCAGTTTCACATTGGCATATCAGTGTTGGGTTTTACTTGGCAGCAGGAAAGTCTAGACCATTTCTTAGTAGTGATCTTGTGACGGCGGGGGCCATAGTTTGTTACTGTTACTGTAAATGTTCAGCAGGGTTCAAAGTTCACTCTGTCTGCAGACCTGTATGAGCCATTTATATAAATCATTCTGTCTCTGTAAATTATATTGGAGTTACAGTGGGTTGACGTGCAGTTAACCTTACGGGGGGGGGGGGGGGGGGGGGGCTCAACAACTGTCAGACCTGCAGCCTCTCCGCTCCTCTGTGTCAGCAGAGCGCCTCCACACACGCGCGCGCACACACACACGGATCGAAGTCAACCAGCTGATCAGCGGACATTGACGACAACTACGCTGGTTAGTGTAAGTACGTGGTGCAATAAAGACTTAGCCAGTAAAAAGCCAATACTTTACCAATACACCTGTTTAATGAGCATAAACAAAACGTTTTAATCTGCTCAGTTTCTCATCCGCTGCAGCTGTGTTTTGGTTTTACACAAGCACAGCGCTAGTTCAGCTAATAGTTTATTGTTACAACCTAGCTAAAGTGAAAGCTCTCTGTCTTTAGTGACTGTTCAGCTTAGTTTGCCACGTACATTAAAATATGGCACATTATAAACTGAGCAGCCCTCCTCTCTACCAGCAGCAGCAGAGGGAGGAGGAGGACAGGAGGGACTGAGCTGTTCATTCATTTTAAACTTCACTCAGTATGTTGTCAGGAATATGATTTATTTTACTGACATTTTAGATTTGTTTCCAGGGAGATATTAGTGACTTTGCTGTTGTAAATCATGTTGCTGCTCTAGAAACAACATTTAGTTAATAAAATAATATTAATTAATAATATATGCAATTATTTAGTAATAAATAGGATTGATAAGAGCATTGATAAAGAACTGAACCAATAAGGATTACCAATACAAGTGTGTAAATAAAATCCTAATGACCCAACTCATGAGAAAATGTCCGGCCCATCTCTGCGTCCTGGTTTTAAAATCCAACCCAGCCCTGGTCTGCAGTGATCATAGTAATATCTTCCTTGTGACGAAATGTACATTAAATTGAATGCAGCACTGTAGACAATATTTTCTCCATGTTTCCTTTGGATATTGCTGGAAATTGTCCCCCTCCTTAAAGGGTAAATTATTATCATAACAATTCAATAATGCATTGCATTTAAACAGCACTTTTCATACACAAAAAGTGATAACAGTGGCTTACTGGTCCTACCTGGCTGGACATGCAGTCTGCCAAAATAAGTATCCCCCTTTATAAAGCACAGACGATGGCCTACCATCAAGTATTTTATTTTGTGTATACTTCACATCAGGACTAATAACAGGGGTGAAAATGGAGAAGTTTCTATTTTCCAAGCGATTATTTCAGACTGTATTTTCAACCTGCCATAAAACGTATCCCCCCTTTATAATGTACAGATGATGGCCTAAGTATTTAATTTTGTGTATACATTCACATCAGGACTAATAACAGGGGTGAATATGGAGAAGTGTGTTGTTTCCTAACAAAAGTTATAGTGGGATACATAATACAAACTGGGATCCAGAGAAAGTCTCGTACACTAGAGCTGATACTGTTCATTAAGCCCTACAAAGAGTGTACTGTAACTTGAGCTAAAGTTAACAGGAATGTTTTTTTTGAATAATGTAATTTAATATAACTATACCTAAGTTACTGAAAAGATCCTGTTACTGAAACAAATAACTGTAAGTTACTGAAACATACTAAAACATTACATTATATACTAAACAAGTCATTTTGAAAACTTGAACATTGCTTTTGTCTCTTTTGTCCTGGATTGAATGGGCCCCTCTGACAAAACAACTGGCCCCAGCCTGGCCCCCTTAATAAAATTGGTCTAGAACCGCCACTGGTTGATTTGAACCATCATGGTTCAAATCAAATCAATTTTGGTGGAGATCACACAGATGGCTTCAAAT